CTTATACTTCCTTCCAAACTCTCAGTATTTCCCTAGCTTCCCTAAGGTCAACAACAGTGAGTAAAAAATCTCAGGTGTGACTCTCCAAAGCCCTTGGTCCATGACCATCAGTAATACGGAGTATTCGGAAGCCGAATCCTCCACAAAGGACAGAGTAGGAAGGCCACTTGCATGGAGGCAGTAAGGGGACAAGCGTGTCAGTCACCAGCCCCACTGAGACTCGGGGAAAAAAAAAAGGCTCAGTGCAGAGGCAAGGGGCAGGCATGGCGTTTATTATTAAAATGTCAGCCTATCAGCCTGGAATCCAAAATCAGGCTATTTCAACCTCTAGTGGTTTGTAATACATAATAAATCAGCCTCTCCATGTTTTCATGCCTGTTCCCTCAGGAGAAATGGATTGCATACTGTCCAGCCAGTGACCAGGCGGGTGAGGCCTCCAGCCATTTCCTTTATCCTACCCACCTAAACACTGCTGACCTTCTCTCCTTGGAAACCTAACATCATTGCCACAATCATGTCCAAATCGAGGCATTCCCGCCTTATCCCACCCTTATACCCAGCAGCCAGGAGCTGGGGTTCCCAGCTGAACAGACCCAGCGAATTTCTGCTTATAACAACTGAACATGATGGAGAGCCCACCAGGACCAACTCCGAGGAATTAAAGAAATTCCTTTGGCTTGCCGGAATCTTATGTTAAATATTCTCGGAAGTAAGTAGGCCATAGGCTAACACTAAGAAATCGTTCACAATAAAGATATTCAGCTAGTAACGCAACCGCTGGTACAGGATCCGACCTGAATAGGGAAAGAGACGAAACGGCTTTCTCAGCCGAGCTCTTTAAGGCTGGATGGTGCTAAATCTCCAGGGAGAAATTGCAGCTCTCTAATAAAACTTTAAAGACCCCACGTTCTACATCCCTCCCCCGCCCCGCTCCTCTCCTCCCCCCCCCCCCCCGTCGGAAGCACTTGCTAAGAAAGCCAGAGGAAAGAAACACTTGGGGATGTAAGAAAGTGCACAGACTTCAGAGTCAGAGGGATTGAGTCCTCAGCCTGACTACTGCACTAGCTTATGGTATGACCTTAGGAGAAATCAACAGTGACTTATAGGACTCAGTGTGCTCATCCACAGAATGGGGACCAAGAAGCTCTCTGGGAGACACCATGCCAAGTGATGTGAGCCCAAATCTGCAAAGGCACTAGGTCCATTCCCTGGCTCATAGTAAATTCTTAATGAATAGTAATTAGCCTCTCTCTCTTCTTTTTGAGACATGTGCATTGTGTGTGCACATGTGTGTGCATGAGTATATGTTTATATGCACGTGTGCATGAGCATGTGTTTGTATGGGCATGAACATGTGTGTGCATGAGCATGTGTTTGTGTGTACATACACTTGTGTGCATGTGAAGATCAGAAGCCAATTCCAGACGTCATTCCTCGGGAGCCAGTTCTGTTGTTTTTGTGAGATGGACTCTCTCAAGGGCCTGGGGTGGCTGATCCAGCTGCACTGGCTGGCCAGGAAGCACAAGCCTGTCTCTACCTCCTCAGTGTTGGGATTCCAAAACCATGTCTGGATTTTTTTAGATGGACTCTAGAGAGAAAATGCAGCAAGTACTTTACTAGCTAAGCAATCTATCCCCTAGAAACTTGTAGTTTTAGTGCAATTTGTAAGAATCTTAGGGGGTTTTGTTTGGTTGTTTGGTTGGTTGGTTGGTTGGTTGGTTTTTGTTTTGTTTTTTACTTACTTCAACAAGGCCACAGGGTTGGTTGGGTTGATTGGTTTGTTTTATTGTTGTTGGCCTTCTCACTCATAGGTATAATAGGAAGATTCTTGGAAAGAGAATGTAAGAACCTACGCAGGTTTCTACTTCTGCTACTTACCAATAAGGCTCTCTCTGTGCCTTGGAAATCAAGCTTCCTACAGCAGCCACCAGGATGGCTATGAGAACTTGGTGAGATGAAGTATGCGCAAGTTCCCCAGAAATCAGGGAGTGTTTCAAGATGAAGGAAACACCATCACTGGGGCACAGTCCATAGACGGCATCTACATTACACTGCTCATGAGGTACGCCCCCCCCCCCAACGAGACACAGTCTATATGTGACCCACACTACAGAAACTTAAAGGGGAAAAAGAACCAGCCACAGAAGTGGGTCTTGGAAGACTCAGGAGATAATCCATATTCAGTCATGTTAGTGGATGTGGCCTCTAGACATTTACAAATAAGGACGCTACAGACTTATCCATTGTTGAGGTCGCACCTGGGATGAGAAGCACCTAGAAAGCTCTACACAGAGTCTAAAGCAAGAGAGATGGAGCAGAGAGAAGAAAGAAATGTATCCAGGTTGATGCATCCATAGTCAAGGAGAGCAGACGGCAGATACTGAAAACAGGTACCCTGCAGGCATGAGGGAGCTGGAATGTGTGGAACAGCAAGCCAGCTGTTCCAGGATAAAGACAGGTCAGGGAAGGCACTGAGAACATCTTGTCTCTCCCACTGGGTTCTGGAATCAGCAACAGCAGAACACATTATCATTACTAGGAAGCATAATTTCTGAACTCTACTTGCTAGGGTACAAGCCATACAGGACATTAGTTGTGTAGTCTTTGCCTAGAAGAGACACTGCCCTTTTGCTCAATTAGCAAGCCGATGTTTCCATTATCAAGTTGAAAAGTCATTAGGCCTGAGGCTCCCTGATCTACATAAGAGAGTTAAAAAAAACATCCAGTCCCCCAGAAAGGTCTTTCTGAATATCTCAGTTTTGCATGTCCAGCAAAAGAGAGAAGAATGCTGAAGCAGCCAATAGGAGACGGTCACTTATAGACCTTACGGCGACCTGGAATGCTTGCTGTCAAACCTTGACCTTGACATCACAGGCTCATCATTCTACTGGTCACAGGGACAGCTTCACTGCTGAAGGACAGTTGTGTTACCCCCATCAGATGACTGAGATGACTTGGGTAAGAATACCACTTACTGTTTCCTCTTCTGTACAGATGGGAGAAGAATCATCTTCTCAGACATTTCCCTTTAAAAAAAAAGTGGGGGGAGAAATAGCAGCCGAGCCAGGGCTTGGCAATTAGTGTTGGAGTAAGTGATCGCCTTGTGATTGCTCAGCTGGGGCCCGAAGACTTGTAAATGCATTTAGAAGACAGAAATAGAAGATGTTGTGAGAGAGGAGCGAAACCTGGACCATTTGCCAGGAGAAAATGTCCCAGAGCTGCCGGGAAATTCACTCAGTAGGGATTTGGGGTGTGTCTTCACAAATGGCCGGAGTTCACTCATAAAACCCATGGGTATGCCAGACTGTATGCCTCGCCCTGTGGATCTGTCTCCCTCAGCCTCCTCTGGAACGCCCACCGTATCTAACAGAGCCCTCTGGGTGGGTGCTGGTGCTTCAGCTCATCTTGAGTAAGTCTGGTGACATTGGGCTGCACTTCGTATAACAGTAGTCAGCTGGAACTGTCATGTGCTTCCACAGCCCCAACTGTCCCCACCTGATCGACCATGAAGAACATGTGGTTTCACGACCTCTGAATGTTGTGAAAAAGGAGAGCTCTCAGATGTCAAAAGCTTTTTCCCTTGGGAAGTTTTACAATGAAACTCGAATCCCCAATAAAATAAACACCTGGAACATCTGGTCCAAGGCCCTTCTCTGGTTGCAGCGCTCTACCAATAGCTGTGAAGAACACACACATCAGGAAAATTGTGCCATGGGATGTAAACCATAGCAAGGGAGCAAGAGCTGAGCTAGACAGTTAAAAGGGAGGTCTCGGTCCCCCATTGTTAATACAAATGGTCCCAAACAATGGCCAGGGAGCTTGCTATTTCCAGAGGGAAGAAAGAAAATTCCACACAAAACAGAAGTGACTGAAAGAAAGAAATAACTATTCACCCTGTGCTTGGGAAAACACACAAACCTGAGAGTATAGCCGGGACCTCTGTAAAAAAGAAAAAAAAAGAAAAAGAAAAAACACTCCCCAACCATAATTGTTCAGAATCTCTTCTGACCCACTACATCCCCTGCCTGCCACTTCTTCACAGCATCCCTTAGAAGCTCTGCTTCTTTATAAGAAATCTTTACCCAGGAAGTTGCCTTCCATTATCAAGTGCCAACTACAGTGGCCAACGAAAGACCAGTCAACCTGCCAGTAGGTCCTCTGCTTCTGATTCACAGTGTATCCCAACACCATCCAGTTCATGCATACTCTCTGCTCTTTGGGGTATACGCACTGAAGATACACAAGGCTATTCTTCTTGAGCAAGAGAGCTGACCCAGACAACTGGTATACCCCTGCGGAGGTGTCAGTTGTCTTGTCCTTGATCACTTACTGGAGGTTTTCTTTCATGTTCCCTTGATGCACAAGAAATAACTGCCCTCCCTCCAAATCGCATAGTCTGCCTACCCAGACCTAGACTTGGAGAAGAAGCATACATGTGGATGATTCCACTCTTCTGAGGTCTGCCTAAAGAATTTATTCCACTAGTCAGTCATGGCAAAGAGGGGATACAGAGTGAGGGTGGCACAAACAGGTACAGATATCCATCATCATGTGTCCACTGTCCCATCCCAAACCAAGACCTGTGATCTTATGCAGATGCTTCCATTTCTCTAAGCTCTTCTGTATTGAATCTACTCTTCTCATACTTGGTCTGGTCTTGTTTTCCTTCTTCCAGTAATCCCCAACCTCCGCACCCCTACTACCTACGCACACTCTCAGAAGAGTCAGGTCCATATTAAGTCCCTGTCATTTACATTCCCATAAAACTGAAAATTTCATTATAAAAGATACAAACTTGCAAGCCAAGAGACTCTCCCACTCAGCCCTAGATTACTTCTACTTAAAACCTTTGAGGTTACTGAATCCCAAGTGCTTATGCTAAGGAGGTAAAACTGAAGACCAAGGTAAAAGATTTGGCCATGGTCAACAAATATCAAAGCCACGATCCAAGATGATCTCCATGCATGCACCCCCACCTCCCATAATCCATTTCTACTCACATATAACGCAAGTGGGGGTTCTTGGCGAAGGCTCTGGGCTGAATGTTCCGGAGTCCAGAGTTTTTGATGGTCCTAAGTGGAGGGAAAAGGAGATCAATAGAATTCCAGGGGTTAGAGCCAGAAGGAAGGCTATAGACTCCCCTGTGAATGGGCTGTGGCTCTCTTCATCGCTAGTCACCTAGATGGCCAAGAGCGGCTCAGTGAGAGACACAAGCCCAATTCCTTTGGAGAACTGAGTGAGGGTTAGAACATGAGCATCTAGAACTGATGGCAGCTAGTCACTACCCATCCTGAGCAGCAGTTGAGAATCAGGGCTCCTGGTGACAAGGAGATTTTAGTCTCGTGTGCCTTCTCCTCCTCACACCTGGTCCTCCCTGCCTAGAGCCCTGACGTTCACTGCAGTTGTGAATGATACTGGAATACTGGAACACTGGGAATGGGGTATGGGGCTGTGCCAAGCACAGAAGAAAGAACATAATCCCAGCAGGCATGGGGACAAGGCTGCCTTGAAATGCTAAACTCAGATAACCCCCAGGCCTATTCATATTAAGGTGGCCCCTGACAACCCTTAAATGGGTGATGCCAACCATCCCCAGAGAAGATTCCTGTCTGGGGGGGCGGGGGGAGCACCGAGACAGAAAACTTCCCATTCCTGCTACTGCACCCCCAAAGATGACGGTCAGCGTCCCAGTTGTTGCTCTGCAAGCCACCCCAGAGTACTCACAGCTTCTGGAGTCCCGTGTAGAGCTCCATGTCCACAGCGTTGAGCGTGTGCAGGCCTCGCCAGTTCTCTATGTGTCTGCAGGGAGAGAGGAGAGGTCAGGACACTGCGGCCAGGGGCAGGATGCCAACTTTATAGTCAGATCTGAGCTTGAAGCCTGGAGCATGAGCCATGACTTCTGACAAATCACCAATTAACTCTGAGTTCAGCTTCTCCCTCTGGATGGACAGAAGCAAAGGACTCATAGCTCCTCAGTGTGTAGCCTGAGGATGGAGCGCTCAGTATCCACTCCCAGCTCCGGAACACTTCCAACCCATCCCCCCAAATTTTGATTCTATTTACTTCCTTCTTGTTCCTCTTCAGGATTTTCTAAGGTCAGGCTCTTTGTAGACTCTTTTTATTTTATTTTTTCTTCATGCCTGTGCAGCAAGACGATATAAATGGTGTGGTTTTAGGAAGGGAGGGATGGCTCATCTGAAAGAATGGCTTCTGAACATACAAGATGAGGAGAAAGACATGCATGGCGTGTGTGCCCACGAGGGCACAGAAGACCACGCCATCTACACGGCCGCAGTTCACTCCATTGGGAACTCAAGGAAACCAATGGATTGGGATGACAGAAAAGTGACTCCAGAGATGGGGCCCCCTAATGGCTCAGGGGTGCCACAGAGTAGCGTGGGAAGAGGGCAACATGGAAACCCTGGGAAGCAGGCTCAGTTTCACCTCTGAGACTCTGTTGCAGATGAGGCAAACGCTTTAACCAATGTGAGACTCTTGTTTCTTTGTGAAGGAGACGGACCCTACCACAGAAGTTCCTCCTCCCTCCACCACAGAGACTCTTTCTAGAGCTTTCCCTCGAGAGATCCTGATTTTAAAGAGGGCCGTGTCCAGCAAGACTACATTTATTAAATAATAACTAATTTGTATTCTAAGATCAATCAAAGACAAAAATTGCTGTGAATTGAGGCTCTTTATCAACAGACACAAGCCAGTGTTAACTGACCCAGTACATCAACTCCAGCTCAAAGTTAGGAAACTCAAGACTATTGCTATGATGTAAGACTTGTCATGAATACTGGTCTAGTTTTTTGTTAGTTCCTCAACACTGACCAATATTTCTTCATTGCCGCTTTTGGAGTTGTCAATTGAAAAACCATTGCATTGCTAACTACCTAGACCTTTCTGTTACTCTGATATTGTATGAAAGATGACCTTCCATGGAGTGCCAGAAGATCCTAAGAAATTATCTATCCCAGCCCTCCTGGAACCTGCCTCTCTTCAGTATCCAGAAGTTGCAATAGACAAAAGGTCTAAGTACCATTGCAGTAAAGAATACAGTTACCTAAGGCACACTCTTGCCAGAAATGTGACCACCACTTTTCCCCCAGACAGCTCCTCCATTGCCCGACCACACCAGTGGTTCCGCCATCTGCCGCCCAGTTCAACTGGAGCCAAAAAGGCAACAGGGCTGTGCTTGCCAGGACTTCTGGCAGCATTTCAGAACCGCACAGTGATGAGGTATGCCAAGAGCCCATTTTGAAACACATTCTCCCAGAGCTCCTATGGAGCAGCCAGAGACACTGGCATTTGTTGGGGACACTGACCAGGTGGCCAGGTTGGCATTGGCCTCTAACTCGGATGCCTTCTCTCAGGAAGCCTCATGGTTTCAAGGCAGTTTTCATGCCCCAGTCTCACCAAGGTAGGAACACTGACAACATTTCAGATGCAAAGGGAAGCCAAGAGGAATAGGACCACCTGTGCCACTAAGCCCCTCCAGTGCATATTCCCGGGCCATGAGCCATGTCAAATACCAAGTAGATCACAGTGTTTATCCAGCATGTTCCCCGTCCATGGGAGCTCAGCTTCCTCCGTGGATCTGTTTCCAACAAGTAGCTATCAATCAAATTGTTTAAATAAATGAAATCACTTTCTTGGCCCCTATTAGCATTCCATATGTGTGCTTTGATAATTGTAGAGATGACTGTCGTTGCATTCTGGGACTTCATTCATTTCAGTCTTTATGATTTATGCTTACAAACAGATCCTTCCTAGACTCGCCACGCACTAAGAAGCGGCAAAGGAGTGGAGCTTCGATATGGAGTCCTCCAGCAAATTAAATAACAGCCCCAGCATCCTCTTTGGTGTCTGAGTGCTCCTCAGACAGGGAGCAGCAGTGTGACAGCCACATTGCAGAGGGGTGAGGGGTCGGGGCTCTGGAACAGTCATTGGTAAACTATGGGTTGGGGCCAAATTCGGCCCACTGTTTTCTTACATATAGCTTCAAGAAGATACATTTTCATATTTTGTTTTTAAAAAACAAATCAAAGAAAAAAAACTATTTTGTGAAATATAAGAATTAGATAAAATCTACATTTCTGTGTTTATCTCTGCTCACTACCATCTATAGTTACTTCCATGTTATAAAGTTGAACCATCACTGCAGAGACCATATGGCCTGCAAGGCCTGGATTTACTCTCTGGCTCTTTATAGATAAAAAGGTTGCCAACCCCCGCCTAGAGCAAGGCTGCCTGGATGCTAATCCTAGCCCCAGGAGCACTCCACCAAAGACACTCTGTCCACGCCACTTCCCCTGTCTCTGCCTCCCTTTTCTCAGCTGTCAAATGGGGGTGATACAATGTCTGCCTCCTAATGATGACCTGAAAATTGAAGGAGCATGTTAAAAAAAAAATTCTTAAGGGACTGGAAGTACAGCTCCGTACTCACCTAGATCACCTGAGACCCTGACTTCAGTCCCAGCACCACACAATACTAAAAGTAACAACCCCACCCAAGAGCCCTTGTAGGATTAGATACAGAGGAGGCCTTGGAAGACACTATGCGGGTTTTATGAGAAGTCTTTTCTTGGTTTTTGAGTGCAGATGGCATCATGCTTCTGCTAGAAGTTATCATTTCTTGGCCATAATTCATTAAAAATAAAAAGAAGAGTAGGTCCATCATTGATTTTAATGCCCTATTATGGCAGAAGGGTAGAAGGACAGGAAACCTATCATTCATGACTTCTAAGAAAACTTGAGGAAAGCACTAATGAGTCACCAGGAAAAGGACACTTGCCACTGGCTCTAACAACTTGAATGTAATATTTAGAAATATACGAGATGAAAATGGGGCACTAGCTCTGATTGGTTGTCTTCACAGGCACACACACACACACCACTATCAACAACAACAGCCGCAACAAATATACATATATATATATATATACACATATATAGATGTAGATAGATAGATAGATAGATAGATAGATAGATAGATAGATCTTTAAAAGAGAAAACACCATGGTGAGTAATAACAGGACAGAGGAGAAGCATGCCAGCTGAGGTACAGCCTTGCCATTTGCAAATGACATTGGCCATGGCCTGCCAAGTCTTCCATGACTCACTGCTAGGTACCAAACAAGGGAGGTCACTTATGGTAACTCTGCTGGCTGCTATTAGAAGGCCACAAGTTTCAGTGGGAAAAGGCTGGATCTACAAAGTATAATAAATGAATAGGATGAGGTAAGAGAGTAGAATTGGCATGGTTTCATTAACGCCAAATAGGGAAGGCAGAACCTGGTGCCAGTACATAGGGTTCTTCATGTCTGGCACTTTTTCTGGGTACTCCAGTTCAATAAGGATGCATCTTTGAAGGAAGGTCAGGGCTTAAATAAAGGATTCATGACAAGAACCAGACTGGTTCTACCCACAGATGTCTCACAAAGCCTGCTGTGGGGTGTGGAGGGAAGCAGGCGCTCAGAGAGACGGTGGGAAGATGGTAACATGCATGACAACTAGGTCCCCTCCAGTGACCCACAGCCATGCATCATGCATCCACCTAGCATCACCTGTGCCAATCAAGGACAGGGAGGAGAGGGTATACAGAGACCAAAATGCTGATCTTGGGTTCTCTCCCTTACCTTATATCAATTGTTTCCACATTATAATGCTAACAGCAAAATTCTCAAGAGGAGGTAATTTTGTCTCCCAGGGGAACGTTTTCCCTGTCTACACACAGTTTTGATCCTCACAACAGGGGAAAGAATAACGCTAACATCTGATCCAGTCAGCACAGACTGGAGCAAAGTGTCTGCCCCAGAGGTCCCCAGCTCTGACTTGAAGACCTTTGCCTTCTCACATAAAGTACCTGTCAAAGTTGTTATTGAAGCTAGAGTCCCAGGCCTTAAAACATCACTTTTGCAAATGACTGCTTTGCATCAAACACTAGGAGTCTGTGCCCTCCCCTCAAAAAACAGCCCTGCTCCTGCTCCAGTGAGTCTAGAAGAAAAATTCAAAAACCACGGCTCTCAGGACTCTGTGTCAATCCAGGAATGTGAACGAGTTATAGATGATATCTGCTTGCCGGGAGCCTTTGCCCACGCTCCTCTCAACGTCCTGCCCCCACACTCTCACATGGACTCTTCTCGAAACTGCAAAGTCCACTCTGCCTGGACCTTGTGCACACCCCTTTCCCAGAGAGTGTGACAGAGGGGGATGGTCCATGACAACAGAGACTTCTGGAGCCATGCCAGGCTTATAGGTGCAGCTCAGAAATTCCATGGGAGTCAAGATGGACCTCACGGAACAGGGCTTAGGTGGGTTATAGCCAAGGGCTGACTAAGCAGTCTCCCCCACAGCATGAGAAACACAGCCCCTCTTCAGAATGCACAATAGCATCTCTGAGTCCTAGAGACCCAGGACCAGGGTTCCTGACTCAGATCCCATTTGGGAATATGACAAAGCACAAATTAAGTATTAATTGAGGATACAAAGCCCTTTTGTGCTAGAATAAATTAGATGATACTTTGTCCCGCAGCTTTCTCTTCCTCTTTCTGTTTCACTTGAGCCAATATGGAAATGACCTGGCAACATCCAAGAATCTGAAAATCAGTTGGTACAGACTGTGTGCTCCATATTTTAATTAAAGACATGTCATGTGTCCTTTATGATCCCAGTATTTGATGTTTATAGTCCTCTCTCCAGAAAATTCTAGAACACACAGACATCTGCTGCCACATAACTTGAAAAAACTAAGGTGTAAGAAGCCCACAAGAGGGTCAGGGTACCGTGCCCCAGCCAAA